GGTACCGCCCGAGCCCCGCCATGCCCCGGGGCGGCCCCGGGCCGCTCGCTCGGGGCCACCCCTCGGCTGAGCCCAAACCTCCTTGTAGCTGGAGTCGCCCTCTCCGACACCCATGGAGACGTCCGGGTGCGCCCCGTCCGAGGAGATGCTGTGCCAGGCTTTCTCTGATGTCCTGCTGGAAGTGAAGGACGTAGATGTGGAAGATGGCACTGACCCAAACCTCTGCAGTGAATACGTGAAGGACATCTACAACTACCTGAGAGACCTCGAGGTTGGTAGGAGTCATTCAGAGTCACAGGCAGATCCACTGACAGCGAACCTGTCGTTACAGGGACTGGCATTCACTTTCCCTTACAGGATTTTAGGAAGCAAGAACAAGCAATTTCTTAACTTAAAATTCCAGAGTAAAACTGACCAGCCTGATAACGCTGGTCATTAGACCAGTCGGCTAGTAGTACTAGTACCCTGATCTTTCTAGCCAATATCTAATAATCAAACTCAGAAACCTCACGCTCTGTGTCCCAGGCTTATGCGGTGTGCTTGTACTGAGCTCCTTGATAAGCCTTGCCTTAACATGACATAGCTCAAGTCTCTGCAACATCTAGCCTCTAACTGGCTGGATCTCCTACTAACCCTATTCCTTCCACACAGGAAAAACAAGCTGTCAGACCCAAATACCTGGCAGGCCAGGAAATCACTGGGAATATGCGAGCTATACTAATAGACTGGCTTGTGCAAGTACAGATGAAGTTCAGACTCCTGCAGGAGACCATGTACATGACAGTTGCTATCATTGATCGCTTCCTGCAGGTGAGTATAGTGTCAAGGAATGCTTTTCCTCTAAGCTAAAGCACAACAAGCACTGATAACATCATACATGTGGTTGGATGTGTTGACCCTAACAAAAAAAATAGCTGACAAGCAAAGAGCTTTTTAGTCCTGAACTCTGCACAGTGTATACCCATCTCAACTAGAAACACTGACCTGGCATATCAAAGCTATTTATTTCTCTCCCTGACTTGATCTCAATAGCCTGTCCACAGCCCTGCAGAGGCTAATAGAGGTAATAAAATGCTGTACAGTTACTCTGTATATGCCAGTGCATAGCAGGAACCTTATGTTGGCTACCTTGAAAAGCTGAGCCAAGTCATTCAGTCTCACACAAGTCTCTACTGCTTTCTACTACAGGACAATACTGTGTCCAAGAAGATGTTGCAGCTGGTTGGTGTCACAGCTATGTTCATTGCCAGCAAGTATGAAGAAATGTATCCCCCTGAAATTGGGGATTTTGCCTTTGTAACAGATCACACTTACACAAAGTCTCAGATCCGCCAGATGGAGATGAAGATCCTGCGAGCCCTGGACTTTGGTCTGGGTCGCCCTCTGCCTCTACACTTCTTAAGGAGGGCTTCAAAGATTGCAGAGGTAATGCTGAGAGCTGTGGTGTTACTGTCAGCGTTAACCTGAAGATGCAACGCTTGGCTGTTGCAGCTTGTTAACACTGTGTAAAACTTTGGTTTGAGTATTATAACCATTTAGCAACTGAACAAACAGTTCAGTCTGAAACCCGTTTCCGTGTAGAAAGTGGTCTTATTTGTCTGCTTTTTCCCACTTGAGCCTGATCCAGCCATACCTGAGTGAAAATGCCTGCCTGGTACTAGCAGAGGATTGTCAGACTGCTGTTGAAGGGAATAGTCCTAAGATACAAGCAGCTGAACACTACTCAAAATGGCTCCATGATTAAGCCACTTAAACTTCAAGCCTACAGCTTGAAAAGCGTTTAATAAGGAAGTATTTCTTCCTGCCTATTTAAACAGAGGCAACTGAGCCTTGACACGATGTTTTTGCCTTGGAGACAACGCTCAACTCAGACTTATTCCAGGTGGACTTGGAACAACACACTCTGGCCAAGTACCTGATGGAGTTGTCCATGGTGGACTATGAAATGGTTCACTTCCCTCCTTCCAAAACTGCGGCTGCTGCTTCCTGTTTGGCTCTGAAAGTTCTTGATGGGGGCGAGTGGGTAAGTCATGCTCGTTGGACACCACTTCCTAGTTTGGGACTTGGTGTACTCATGTACCAGCATAAAATGCCACTCTAGGCCAAGTGCGTTCTTGTCTCCCCTTGACCCATAACGGGGGGACAGAAGTAGGGCAGTTAACAGTTTCCTGTGAGAAAGGAGACTGCAGCTGTCCAACCCCAACAAAAGATAAAATCCAGCAAACTCAAATTGTCCTAGTAGTATCGTCCAATAATGTCCCTTCCTTTCAGACACCAACTCTACAACACTACATGACTTACACTGAGAGTGACCTTCTTCCAGTCATGCAACATATGGCAAAGAACATAATTCTAGTGAATCGGGGCCTTACTAAGCACATGGTAAGCTTCTCATGGTAAAGACGGGGAGTGGACTTGGTTACGTGTCAATAATATGTGGTTCTGTGACTTGAGCCGCTGATACCAGACTTGTATCAGACCTGCTCCCTTCAGCTGAAGGGTCTCTATCTTGCCAAGGTGATACAAGCCGGCACAAGCTTACCAGAACACAGAATTGTTCTGGGTGCCTGAAGTCACTTGGCCTGGCCACCAAGCCTCAGATTATCTGAAGCCTGCTAGTAGAGTGGCTTATGTTTATTTATGAGCAGGCTAAACTTAATCTAACTATCTCTTTGCAGACTATCAAGAATAAATATGCCAGCAGCAAAAATGCCAAGATAAGCACTATTGCACAGCTGAACTCTGCTGTCATACAGAATCTAGCCAAACCTCTGGCCAAAGCACCGTAACTCCTACACCACCAACTGGGCAGGATGTTGGCACTGTGTGCCACTGTGTACATAATGTATCTTATTTGTGTGTTAAGCTTTTAATAAAGCATCTTGTTGCCTTTTACTTTGTCTGTAGTGCTTATTTGTGCGTGTTGTGCTGGTCAAGTTGTTTTCCCCCTGCAGCTGCTGCTACCCCAGGGCTGTGCTCTGCTAACTGCTAGGGCCGAGGTAGCTGCTGCTAGGTTAGTCAAGTCCAGAGTATGACAGTTGCTCCAGCGCAGCTCCAAGCTACTTAAGTGAAATACTGTGCGGAGACCTGTGTCTGCCTGCCCCCGGCAGTACTAACCCCGCTCTCCCGCGGGGGCTGTGGTTACAAACCCGCCCTGCCCCGCTTGGCCCCGGCTCTGGGAACGCAGCGCCGCCGGGCTGCTGTCCGGCGCCTCCTGC